AAGAAGAAGAAGAAGAAGAAGAAGAAGAAGAAGAAGAAGAAGAAGAAAGAAGAAGAAGAAAGAAGAAAGAAGAGGAGGAGGAGGAGGAAAACTTTGAAGTAGTTAACTCCACCTTCTACAAAGGGCAAGTAATTTAACCTCCCTAACTCATACATCACTCATTTACTAAAGTTGTAATCTGTTCAAGCCAATAGGCCACCCTCCTTTATTGCTCCCTTTAATATGACTGCTGAAATATGGTAGGGTCACAGCTTTAACTGAACAAGGAGACTGTAGAGTAAAACTACCCCAGGACCTCCCAACCAAAATCTTCCCCTAGGCAGGTGGGTACTTGAAACCTTCAACAGATTTGAGCCTGAAGGGAAGAAGTCAACTACACTGTTAGGAAAACCACTTGGCAACAGGGCCGACTAAAGCAAGTTTCTAATCCCAGCTAATCAGAGACTGAAAGAGAAGGATTGCAAAATCAGGGCCTTCCTAGGCTGCAGAGCAAGGTCGATGTGAGCCTAGGAACCTTGTCAAGACTTTGTCTAAAAATAATAGTAGGGGCTAAAGAGATAGTTCCACAGCTGGGAGAGCTTGCCGCTCTTACAGAGGACCTTGGTTCAGTTCCCAGCACTTTCGCGGCAGTTCACAACCATCTATAATGCAATTTCAGGAATCTGACACTCTCTTCTGGCCTCTGTGGACATGGGGCATGCAGTACACACAGATCCATACAGGCAATTGTTCACACACATAAAAAATGAAGAGAGAGAGAGAGAGAGAGAGAGAGAGAGAGAGAGAGAAAAGGGAGAGAAAAGTCGAGCTTTAAAGCTGACTCCAGGCTCCTGCCAGCTCAGTCGCTGAGCGCAGACACATTAGTAAGCTCCTGTAAAGTCAACAAAGCCAGAGCAAGACCAGGATGCAGAACTGTATGCAATAAAGTGGGTTTCTCTGCCTCGAAAGTTAGAGCTTATATGCAGAATGCATATTCTAAAGATAAAATGAAAATTGCTTGTTCGGTTTGGGGGCTGGAGACTGGGCATAGGGGCAAACTAGACCTCCAGGCAAAGTGGCAAGAAAAGGTAACACAAACCTTGAATAATGGCCTTGATTTAAATCTCATAAACAAGAGCCAATATGTAATAAATTCTCATTTTATAGGTAAGAAAACCGGCCCAATCGGTTTTAAAGTATTTTGTCCAAATACATACAATGAAAGCAAAGTTAAACAAGCAAAACCAAAACTACGTGGGTCAGTAACAAACGGTTACTGTTTGCCCTGGTTCCCCTTGGGCATCAGTGTGAGCAGGGCATTGCTGCCTAGTAATGCCGCCTGAAATCACTACGATGCCTTCTGCCCAAGTTCCGGAGAAACTCCACAGTTTTTTTAAGGTAATCAGCTGAGCACACTCCTGCTGATATGTAAATCTGGCTCTCTACTCTCCACCAGAAGTCTGTCACCAAACCCTCCCCCAACACAATTCCTCATAAAGCTGTTCTTGGGCCATCCCACCCCTACTCCTCCTGTCCGGTCACGTCCAGTCAGAAGTAAATGCTATTGATCCTTTCTTCTGGTTTGCTCAGATCCGTCCTTCCTTTCACACTTCCACAACAAGACCTTATCTCAAAAATGTTCCCAGTAGCCTCCTAACTGGTTTCTCTGGCCTCCTATTTTCATGATGTCATTCCCTGGCACCAAAACTTTTTAACAAATGCCTGAAGGAAGGGATAAAGGTCAAAGCTATTAATCTGGCACCCTAGGTCTCTCAGCAAATCGCCATCTTCATAGACTTTTTGACCTCGCTTTTCACAGAGTCCAGTGAGCTTTTATCTTATTCCAAAAGAGCTGATCCATGAATATTCCCTCTATACTACTGTGTATGTATAGAGGGTAAGAGGGGTCGAAATATTTTGCCTTCATGTTTGTCTCTGCACTATATGCATGCCTGGTGCTCAAGGAGGTCAGGAGTCAGAGTCCCTGGAACAGGAAGAGAGGGTGGAAGCTGCCATGTGGGTGCTAGGAATCAAAGCAGGGTCCTCTGGAAAGAGCAACCAATCTCTTAGCTGTTGAGTCATCTCTCCAACCCTTACTCCCATGTTTAAAACCAGCTCAACACTGCCGTCTAAATTCTATTGTCATCTTTGCATTGGACTTTTTCTTCTTTCCCCTAAATTTCCATGTTCTTCATCCTTTCATTCCCATCTAATTAGAGAGAACAATACTTTATATTATATCTCATCCCCACCTTAACGTCATTATCTTCTGCCTCCTCAACTGAGTTGCAAATATCCGGGGAGCTAGATGTAACATGAGGGGCCAACTTGTTGGGGTTTCTGTCCCGCCCGGTACCCCACAGCTGGCAAATCCCAAAGAGAAAATCACACACAGGACTCCATAAGGTTATAAACTGATTGGCCCATTAGGTCAGGCTTCTTGTTAACTCTTATAACTTATATTAACCCATTATTCTCATCTATGTTAGCCATAATGGTTCCATACCTTTCTCAGCTGGGCAAGTTACATGCTGCCTCTTCAGTGGTCTGCGCAGGAGTGGCGGAGGGACCTTCCTCAACCGTAGCCTTATTCTATTCTCATTGCCCTGCCTCTACTTACTGTCTGGTTGACCCACCTATACTTCCTGCCTGGCCAATCAGCGTTTTATTAAAATATGATTGACAGAATACAGACAATTCTCCCACACCAGCTAGAAACATCACACATTTTCTATGGCATCCCCTGAGCAGGCAACAATTCCTTGTTGAACGCAAAATTATTCTACCAAGATCTTTCCCATTCTGCTTTCAAGACTCATCTCTGCTAGGCGGTGGTAGAACAGGCCTTAGCTTGGACAGAAGAAGGTGGAACTCTGTGAGTTCAAGGCCAACCTTGTCCTTAGAGCCAGAGCCAAGAAATCCAATCTCAAAAAACAAACAAAACAACAGCAACAGAAATAAGACAAAACAAACAAACAAAAGAATCAAGACCCATCCCTGTATTCTAGTAGTGTGTAAGATGTCTTTCCACCAATTACTACAGTTTGATCACAACACACCTAGTTGACTCCTAAACAGTTTTGGCAGCTCTTTAAGAACAAGTCAAAAAAGACTGTTTTCCTTTTGTTTTTCCCAAGCCCAACAAAGTATTTTGAGCAGCAGTGTTTAGTGTATGTGACTGCTAGACTCTAGTGGCTTGCTATCCCAACCATTCATCTGCCATTTGTCCCTCCAGAAAGTCTCAGCCCTATCCACTGGGTGACTGACTGGATTTGAATGGCTGATTCCAGTGTAGGTGAACTGTTAGAAAATGACGAGGTGGTTGTGTTGTTAAAGGACTATGGCCCAGAAAGCAGAACCTGCCTATACTTGCTGAACCAGTATAGAAAAACTTCTCAAGAGCCATGGTTGGGTCATCATCAACCACCAAAGCAGTACAAGCAGAAAATGACCAGTAGACAAAGTCTCTGATTTTAAAATCAAAAAGTCCAGAAAACTGTGAAGTGAGATTGACTTTTATTTAGACATCAAGATAAAAGCTGGTTCCTTGGTGTGACACATGTAGTATATGACAAAGCTTAAACTAAAGCAAACTAGTGCTGCCACCCACTTCTGGAATATCTCTTCAGACGCAGGTCTCGTGCTGTGCACCATTGTGCTGATCTTAATAGCTCTATCAACGGCTGGGTGATGAGGGACATACTTTTGCCGTGGCGTACAGATGGGATGGCCTTCTGCCTATTGTTAGCTATTGTCACAGCGGTGGGGCCGCCTGAGAAGAACTATAGGAGTTTCCTTTTTGCTGTTTTCTGCTTAGCTTTGGAGAAAAGGTCTCAACTCTGTAGCCCAGGTATGCTTGGAACTTGGGACAATCCTCCTGCCTCCGTTTTCCAAGTGCTTGGTCTGTGCAATTACTCTTACCTGATTTTGTTCTTTATGTAAACTTTTTAATCCTTCATTATTCTCTCTCTCTCTCTCTCTCTCTCTCTCTCTCTCTCTCTCTCTCTCT